TATATATATATATATATATATATATATATATATACAGTGAACCCTTGCTATAACGTGGTTCACCTTTCACGGTCTCGCTGCTTCATGGATTTGCATCGTGCATTGTGTTCTGCATTCTGATTGGCTAAACAGTCTCAGTAGTTACAGTAGTTATTTGTAAAAAAATGTTTATACAGTACTTTTATTTGTTAAACAAATGCTTGGGCCTGTAAAAAGGTTTTGCTCTTTGGTTTGAATGTATTAAGGAGTATTTCATTGTATAATAATTGTAAAAAAATAAAGGTTACCACTTCACGGATTTCGCCTATCACGGGTTCTTTTTGGAACATAACCCCCGCGAAAAAAAAGGGTTCACTGTTTATATATATATTCTTCTTCTTTCGGCTGCTCCCTGCATTAGGGGTCGCCACAGTGAACTAAGTAGCACGAAGACTTGGCAGTTATGTATACGATGGATGTCCTTCCTGACACCACAGACACCGAGCTACCACAGCCCTCTGTGTGGAGCAGAGAGCTGCTATCTAGGACACCCGGAGGAGCAGATGGTGGGGGTTAAGGGCCTTGCTCAAGGGCCCAGAGTGGGATGAATGAGGATGGGGGCAGGTGTGGATGCTTCACCTACCAAACCCACATTTTTGATGTTGTCAGTAAAATGTTCAGTGTATTCCTTTTTTACAACAATGCACTATAAACAAAGAACACCTCAGCTTTGATATTTACAGTTTCAAAAAAGTATACCTTGAATATGTTGAAATTCTGGCAACTCATCACACTGCAGGTATTTTACCATAATTTCATAATTTTAAAACCATGGATATATATTTTAATTTCAGTGTAAAAGTAATTATTTTTGTAACCTAAAATAAATTCAGATAAAATTAGAAATAAAAAAACTTGTAGCTAGTTAAATTGATCCTAAGCGCCCAGCGATGAAGTGAAAGAAGAGGCAAAACCTACAAGAATTTTGAGCCACCGAGAGTTTCATTAAGATGACTGCAGAATGCTGCTAAAAAGCCAATAGCATCATAACCAACTAAACAAATAAAGCAACCAGAACTATATAATAGTCATGACATGATTAACTAAACTAAGTTATGGACTCAAACATCGCCAAATGTTATGGTTCTTTACTCTCACATGAAAATGGGGCATTAAGGTGCCCCATGCACTTTTCTAGGGAGTCCTTTTCTGCAAGGGTAAGGCAAACGGCTGAGTCTTTGGTGGCATTCAACTTCTTGACCTTTGCGCCTTTAAGCGGCTTTGCTACTTCACCGCTCTCTGATCAAAGTTAATAAGTGCTTCATATGTTAATGAAAATTGGTACTCCTCTTTGTGTTCCTACAGCTTTTTAATACCTATTATAGACTAAAACTTTTAATGGAGGTTTTAGGTCCCCCTGACAAGCCCATTTCAGCGAGTGACTACACAGATACAAGGCTAAGCTAAGACCGGAGAGTCACTGCTCGGTGGAAGAACCTCACGCGGGAGACCTTATTCTCTGGGAAGCAGCAGAAGATAAAGGCCATGGGATGAGTGGCTGCCTTAAAACCCACGTTCAAGTCCGTACAGGGCTAATTACAGCATGCCATCACATTTGAGAGGGTTTAGTTAATCAAGGGGGGACTCTCTTTTTCCTTCCATAGTTGAGGAATAACACACTTAAACCACTTAATGCTGCCAGGATTGCATCCTGTTTAATTCACAGCCTTTTCACATGTGGGGTAAATTTAAGCCACTATGACATTAGTTTTAAACAGATCTAATTGAGGAAGGGATCACAGGGAAACTGGCTACACCTGAAGATTGCACTGAATTTGCCACAAAGAATAATGAATAGTGGATAGTACATCATTTGGGTCTTAGGAGGCAATGGGGGACTTAGCTACTGTAAGCTTAGATAGCAACGTAATACAAAAAATCTGACTGCTAAGGCTTGGGTGTGACAAGGAACAGATTACCAATGCCCACGGAAAGTAGTATTTGACACTTGGGATTGCCATGTCGTGTTGACTTTATTCATAAACATGGAGAGAAGATTTGAGTCACAGTTTCTGGTGGTTTTATCCAAAACAAAAAAAAAAAAAGAGTATCAAATGGCTCAGACAATGTTCTTTGAAGATTTCAAAAGTTGTACTTTTCCTTCTTTAACCGCCATTATGTTCTGCAGCATCTATTTCATAGCTGCTAGGCGTTTAGAGACCAGTATGTTGCACTTTGAAGTGCTGAAGTTTTACCAACCGAAACGTTGCTGGTAATTGCAATTTTTAAACAATTGTGCCGTTCAACTTTTAGCAGAGAACAAAAGGAAGGCATTATTGATATGATTGCTGGGGCAAAGCCTCAGAAACATGAAAGATTTGTTTAGTCTCGAATAATGTAATCCCACGAGGCACATCAGTTTAGTGGTGTGGAGAAATAATTCTAAACAATATTTCCTTTGAAAGGGGAAAGAAGAGGCAGACATTCAAGGCATTGGTTCTTCATTAAAAAGTCAAATTTGAGGCACTGACGTGCCAATAGGAGTTGGGACACCTGGGGTGGTGAAAGAAACCCAACCGGAGGGTAGGAAGAGGAGGGTTAGGGAGAGGGGGGTGGAACAAGTCTGTCATCTTCACACTGTAACCTGAAGCAGACCACAAATTAGCTCCTGTGATGGCAAGGTGTGACTGAAATGAAACAAACATACAAAGAGGCATTCTAATTGAATTGGAGTTCAAAGAGGACTCGAACGCATTTGGCGATGCTGAGGTTCTTTATAGTGCTGGACCTCCGAGCAGCAGCAGGTGCTGCCGAGTGTTCACAGAGCTTCAGCGACGGCTCACAGGGGAGTTCTTCGTACTCCAGAGTATTGGTGTAGCACAGCATATCTTCAGAGGGCTATCACAGAGAAAGAGCCATCTTCCTCTCAGATCAAACCCCTGCTCTTCGGTGGATTGCTGGGATCAAATATCAAAAAATGGAGACTGGGAAGCTTCAGCTCAAGGTAGCGATGCAGGAAAAATCCTCAAATGCATACAAGTTCTTCCAGGTTGGATCTGAGCGGGTTGAGAAATTGTATTGAACAAACTGGCAGGAGTTTAACTTTAAGGTAACTTTGAGTTTTTATGCTTGGTACCTGTTTGGATGAACGTTTTATGTTCGTATCAGGCCAGAGAACTCCAGTGTGCTTTATGCAAAAATTAAAACAATAAAACCATAAATTAAATAACACTTATGAATCCTTACCTTTGTTGCAGAAGTACTCCATATCTTCACAGCTCAAGTTCTCAGTCTCAAACTCTGCCGTGAAGTTCTCCTCCACAGAGAACTCATCTTTGGCCAAGAGCTCGTTCTCCTCAGAGACACACTCCTCCTCTTCTTCCTCCAGGCCATCCTCCAGAGGACCTGAGGGAACACACACACACACACACACACAATTGTACACAAACACACACAAAGATAGATGTTCAGTGGTTTCATCACATCCTTCAGGCTTTAGAGAATAATATAAAAAGAAAAAACACCTCCTGCCTCGCAATACTACCGAGCTAGATGCAATTCAGAACACAGGAGTCTACTTTGACTGCTCACACGCTCAGTTCAGGTGCAGATACAGCCTTATGAATAACACTGTGATTTTACCATAGTTTTCTTTTACAAAGTATTTCTACAGCAAATGCAAAAGCTCTTTGCGACTGTGTGTTTCTGAAAACCAAGTTGACATGCAGCCAAGGTGAGCGCTGATGTTAATCCTGCTACCTGCAAAACAAAACCTTACACAGATGGAGGAGAGGGATGGTGGGAGGGATATCCTTTCTACACTTTTCATACAGGCGTCGGCATGGGAGGAGGAAGGAAAATACTTTTATTAATTTGTTAGCCTTATCACAGGGTACAATGTTGATTTTCCATTTACATTCCATGCCTCCGGGTAATACACCAGTGCAATCTTAAAGGAGACACTTTTCCGTGTGATTAATTTTTCCCCCCTCTGTGCAATATTATTTCTTTAAATCTAAACGATTTCAGAGTTTTGCTTGTAGCTGTACATCTCTGTCGGTATTTGCATATTACCATTTGTGCTTCAATCAAGGCTGTTGATGGAATTACTGTACTGCCACCTGAATTGTATTAGTTCAGAAAAACATCCCACCCGGCGTTTGAATGTTATTAAGATAATGTGCATCTTGTGCGCCTTTCTTTCTCGCCCAAACACATCTGCAATGTTTCCCGATATTACCGGGGTGGCAGGGGTAGTTCTTAGGAAGTAAGACAAAACAAAAGCAGAAGGTTTGTAACATTTTGAACTAATGTCTCCCTCTAATTTAGTATTTAGTTTGAATGTTCACCTGCTGATTAGTAAGGAAGAGTTTCTTTCAGTTTGCCACTCATGAGCTTTGTTGCAGCTTCAGTCTGCAGCTCAAACAGAGTGCACTTATAGCCTCTTCTTTCAGTGTTTGTTCTGTTGCAGCAGGAGTGAAGCCCTCAGCTTTAATAAAGCAATAATTTCAGCTCAGAAAATGGGGCTGGTGTGCCTCTTCTGTTTCTCTTTCTTCTTCCACCAAGCCTCATAAAAGACCCCCCTGATGTCCACAAACCGCTTGCTCTTTTCATTAGTCTTACAAATGACTCCTTTGTAGAACTCAACATCTGCAGGAGCCCCGGACATGAAAAGAATTAGCACGCGGATCTCTAATAGACACTGCGGAGGCCGAGAGCTGCTTTTAAATTAGGATACAGTTTTATGATCTTATCTGATGCCTTCTGCTGATTCGCAGAGGAGTGAAGTGAAGCGTGAAGTGACTCGATGAGGCTACCATCGCTTAGGATGATACCGGGAGATAAATATCGCAGTATCAAGGGGAGGTTGTATGACTGGCGTTAAAAGCTTCTGCCAAGGCAAATGAAGACAGTGTGAAAGAAAGCGGGGAAATACATTTCTATACACACACTCTGTACACATTCCATTACACAGCTGAATGAGAACCGTGTGTACAACTAAATGATTCTGCCTCTGTTGCTCGCAAATACAGCAGCACTATTGCTCCGCAGAAAATAGACCTACAGTGCTGTGCGATAATAAGGGTAAAGGGAGATTAAAGATAAACTTCATGGTCAATAAGACACAAAGATTAGGTAGATAAGATGAGATAGAATTGAGGTTTAATAGACTCAGAATAAGGGCATCTCACTTCCCCACTCTAGCAGATAGTAACTAAATGGAGCATTTTCAAGCTGATGGAGATACTGGAGGTCTACTGAATATGAAAAAATGAAAACTCCCACCCAGTCAGAGACATTAAAGGGGGCCTGGTGGCTATTTCTTGAGGACCACGTAGATTGCTAAAGTTTCCTTGCATTCTCGCATGTTTAGTTCATTATACAGTATTCATTGCATGGAGAGACCTGAAATTATTTCAGAGACAGCAATGATAAGAATAATGACTTTCTAAACGACTAGCACCACACTCCTAACTCATTTTCTGATAGTGGTGTTCCTGCTATATTTAGTTGTGTACTGTTTAAAATCCTGTCACATTCGCTGTGTGACCCACGCTTGTTGGTGCATTTCTATAGGCTCTGCTGACGAACTGGGCCAGAGGAATGTCTGCTGCTTCTGCCTCTTATCAAGCCTCCTCTGGAGTTCAGATGGCCAACGACACCACGGATAGAGCGTCTGCGTTTCACTTCACCACAGAGAACAACACAGAGTGCCGTTAGCAACGTGCTCTTTGTACCAGACTCACAAATCTGGTTAAAGGTATAGAATACAGATCTAAAGTTTCTCAAGATGTGTAAGATAGGTTCAAAAAGAAATATGAAGTCAAATTTTACTCATCCACTGTTATTACCCTATAAAATAGTCTGATTTTATACATTAGGTACAACAAACCATTTAGAATAGAATAGTCTTTATTGTCATTGCACAGCCTGAACAATGAAATTAAAAGGTGCCTCAACTGACAGTGTATTCATTAAAAGACAACATACATATACAGTAACGATTCAGTGCAGACATTAAAGACCTATATACACAAGAAACATTAGTCCCCAAAACACAGAGACATACTGGTCAGAAGAATACAGGTGAGGTGGTGGAAGCAGGCTGAACATGTTGCTCATCCCACCAGTAACCAAACATATTGCACTAGAGGAATATCGCACATAGGGAGTTTAACAGGTATTTGAAGTCCGGATGGCCCATGGGAAGAATTTCCAAGATGTCTTGATTTCTCAAGCTTTGATAGCAGCATCTTATTTTAACTTTACAAGCAACAGGTTTAAAACCTGTCCACAGACATCATCAAGACTCTTTATGCTGCCATGATGGGTAGTATTTTTCTGTGTACAGCTATGCACATTGAACATAGCTTTTGTACACACATCACTGGTTGTGTAGATGTTATGCTCAGAACAATGCTATAGGACAAAACCATCACATAGCACTAGGAACTTCTGAGGTTTGCCTGGACTGTGAGTCCTTGACACACTGCACCTCACACCAAACCTTCACAAGTGAGTCATCATCAAACCTCAGAGCAGGAAGCAAAGACCTGCCTCCATTCTCTCAGAGACAAACAGAGGCATGTTTGGTGGGTAGTCATGCCCAGACTAAATTATAATTCAGGCTGCGGGGCGATCTGCATCAAAAAAAGCAGTCTGTCGTTATCAATAGATGGAGAGCTGATGGTCAGAAATCCAACTCTATGCCAAAACCCTTGTTACTACTTTTACTTTCTCTACATAGTCATTCTCTTTTGCACTTGCAGAGCCAATCTGAGAACCTCAGTGAATTAAAAAATTGTAGTAGCGATGTACATAGTAAGGGCAGTGGTGGCACAGAGGTTAGAGAAGTGAGTCTATGATTGTAAGGTTGCTCCCTGATAACATCAAAATGTGAGTGGGAAAGGTGAAACAGCCACATCTGCCTCCACCCTTATTTGCCCCACTCTGAGCCCTTGAGGAAGGTCCTTAACCCCTGAACAACTCCCCCCATCTGCTCCCCCCGGCACCTTACATGGCAACCCTCTGTTCCACACAGGTGGGCTGCAGTGGCTCAGTGGTCTGTTGCATCACGAACAGCATCTGGTGTAAAACAATTGGCAAATCTTCATACGAGTTCGCTCGCAGTTGTGACCCCTGAAGAAGGGGGCAACTGAAAGAAAACAAAGGAGTAGTGCGACTGTTTTTTTGTATTTGAAACTATAAAATGGTAATTATGGTTTGTCCTCTTGACGATTTGTACAGCTAATGTGAAGCATAAGACAACATTTTTGCTGATTTTAGTGTAAACTTTCCACTGCATCACAATAAACTGACTAAGGAAGCTTACTGTGCAAGACAATGAATAAACATTCTGTGATTTAGAAGGGTCAGAAGAAGTTTTTGTTTCACTCCAGACATCACAGCAGCTTAGAAAACATCTAGCTGATTAATTCAAAGTATTGTCATGACAAATACTCATTTGAAGAACTAACTGCAATCCTGTTCTTCAAATGTTAAAGCATTGCAGTCCAGCCATTCCAGTGCCAAAATTCACTGACTTTGCTTTCCAGAGAAAAGTTTGGTTTGCCAAAATCATCCTCACACAAAGAACAACATCTGCAGAGTTCTTAAAAGAATGGTTTTGGAAACTAAACCCTTTCTGAACTTCCTCTCATTCAGAGTCTGTGTCCAGGTATAGCTGCACCCACAGTCCCAACATCCACCCACTCAAACTGTATCATCCACATTCATCAGACTCTTTCTCTGTCAGCTCCAGGGAGAAATGTCAGTCCTGTTCAAACACTCGTGCAGCAGAAGCATCCTGTGCTAATAGAGACATTGCTAGCTGAATGCAGGCTTGATCACAGTGGCTCTTTTGTTCATGGCATGGTTTCTATCTGATAGGAATCAGCCATGCGGAGTGAAGCTCCGAACAGAGACATGGTAATGCCCCCACTGAGTTTATAAAATGGAGTGACACTCCAAAACCATATGATGGACAGAGGATTAATGAGTCACAGAGGAAGGGGAGCAAGAAAGAGAGAATTATGGACACAGGTGGAGGAAAAAAAACATATAGTTTATTAAAAAACACTCTCTACTACAGTGTGAGCATTGGTGGATGAAAACAGAAAATGTGGAAAAAAGGTGCCAACATTTCTCAAAATCTCAGACCTAAAAAAAAACAGAAGAGCTCTGAGGAAAGATGTTGGTATGTGCAAAACTGTATAAGTGACTGTTAATTTCATGGCATGCTTTTTCGAGCGTCTGCAATGTGGGGAGCTTGTGGCCGGGCTGTGATAGCGATACCTCACACTATCAGCAGGCTCCACAGTGTGATGTGTGGATCACAAACCCAGCCTCCTCTATAGCTCCCTAATTAGAGGTGAGGTAATTGAATCTGACAGAACAAAGCGGCA